GGTATTACACACAATGTTAAACAGACCCGGGACCCAAAGTAATAGATTGGGACCCGACCCAGACCCGGCTGACCATTTAAAATATAGACCCGATTGTTTCAGGCCCAGGATAAAAAATTTTATAAAAAAGGTTATTGCAACTTTTTATATCATAATTCTGACATTTTAACTCACAATTTTGAGTTTATATTTTACAATTCTTACTTTTTATTAGCAATATATAAACTATATAAAATTGCAACTATAAATTCATAAATCTGAATTGCAAAATATAAAACTCAAAATTGTGAAAAGAATTTCACAAAATTGCGAGAATAAAAGTCGCAAATACTATTATATATTTAAAAAATTCTGATTCTGTGGTGGAAACAAAAACAGACTTGCAAGATGAAAGCTCAGAATTAGAAAAAAAGGCGGAATTGTGAAAAAAAAGAAGGAATTACCTTTTTCATTTTTAATTCCGTGCCAGAAACTGAATTGTGAGATGTAACTCAGAATTCTGTGGACAAGTCAGAAACTGCGAGATATAAACGAAAAAAAATGGAATTGCGAAATCTAAACTCAAAATTATGAGAAAAAAAGTCAGAAATTGCGAGATGTAAACTCAGAATTCTGAGGGGGAAAAAAGTAAGAATTGTGAGATTTAAACTCATAATTGCAAGAAAAAAGTTGTAATGGTGGGATAAAAAGATGCAATTACCTGTTGTTGTTTTTTTATTCTGTGGCAGAAACAAACAAATTGGAACAGCGAGAATTATAAGTATTCTAATTATAAATATTATATTATTCTAATTATAAATATTCTAATTAGAACTTTTTTCGACATAAAAAGTCACAATTGTCTTTACAAGCTTTAATAGTATGTCCTGTATGCGTTCACATTACGTCGTCGCAAGAGTAAAAACGCTTGCAATTCTATAACCCATGACTTCAAAGTGAGGTTCTGAAAACATACTTTCAAATCATTTCTCAGTGGTTGAAATAGCTATGGTTACATGTCAAAGTATACAATAATAAAATTACTTCCTGATGATTTCTAAAGCAAACTGTACCATTTTTGTAACTGTGCTGTGCATTTCGGCAGTTATAAATCTGTAAACTCCCTAGGTTTATTTCACTACTGGGAAAGCTGATGAGACGTTTAAATTGCTATCTTCAATACCATTAGTGGGGAATGGGAAATAGAGGGCTGTTCCTTTAATTAACACAAGCCGAGAGCGCTGCTTGTTCAGCTGACAGCTCCCGCGGGATCAGAGCTCATGGTGTGTGTTGGCGACAGTATCCACTCTTGTGCACCTGTCTGACTGATCTTGACACCACAACATTTATGCGCAAGCAACCCCATTCCCAGTTTAATGCAAGAGAATCAAACTTTCACCATGGATTTAACACTGCCAACACACAACATTTACTTTACATTTGTTGATTTAAATTCAAGATTTTAAATTCATCTTTCATTTAAAATTGTTCTGTTGATAAAATCATAGATTCTGGAAAAAAATGTTTTTAAATTAAAACACACACACACACAACAACAACATTTTCACTATAGTGGAAATTGGGTCCCACTGTATCTGTCACGAATCCGGTCCATGAACTTCCATCCACTTGCCACCAGAGGTCACCCTCCCATGATATTGACTCTCATACCACACAGACTGTTACACATCACCCTGGACTACATTTCCCATACTCCATTGCACTAATCACAAGCGCACCTGAAACCAATCACACACAGCTGCTACCAATAACACACACTATATAAATCAGTCTCACGCCACCATTCAACGCCGAGTATTGTTTGCGTATACCACTTTCCTAGTGGTAGCACATTACGGAGCCAGTTTCCTGCCCTAGTTTCTAGTCCTTAGTTCTAGTCATAGTCTTGTCTTGCCTGCTTTCTCGTGTTACCTGATTATTGCCTGTTTATCTTGGATTAAACCTTTGCCTTTCTGTTTCGGACTGTGTTTGTACCTCACCTGGACTACTGCTCGTGTTATTGGATTTCCCCTCTTGTCAAGCCCTCTTGATAACGTTCGCTGTCGACTGACTCATGCCCGGTTTGGATTACTCTTTTGTCTTGCCCTCAATATACCTGTTTGCCATTGTCAGAACCTTGTCTGTTTTTATGACCTCACCTTTAAATAAAAGCGTTGCAGATGGATCCGCACATCTCATTCGCCCCGTAACAGTATCAGGGTTGTTAGATATTTTACTAAAAATAAAAAAAATTATAATAAAACCATAAACTAATTGAATAACTGAAATAAAATAAATAGGATGAAAATTACTTTAAGTTTAGTTTTAGTAAGCATTTTATATTGACAGTATAATATAAAACTGACAAAACACAGCAAACAACATATAATAATTATAATAGTATCTAAATAATACTAAAATAACGCTGTACAGTATCCTTTCAAATCAGAATTTCCCACATTTATCGGCCGATACCGATATGGTGGCCGATATATCGTGCATCCCTAAATAAAACCATAAACTAATTGAATAACTGAAATAAAATAAATAGGAAGAAAATTACTTTAAGTTTAGTTTTAGTAAGCATTTTATATTGACAGTATAATATAAAACTGACAAAACACAGCAAACAACATATAAAAATTATAATAACTATAATAGTATCTAAATAATACTAAAATAACGCTGTACAGTATCCTTTCAAATCAGAATTTCCCGTTTGGGATCATGACCCCAACCAGGTCCCCAAACTTTTAAAGGAACTGATTGTGATTTCACTAGTAGCCAAATAATCTAAATTTTATCTTAAATCTTAAAGTTCCTGCAAGTAAAAATATGAACTACTGGCCTTTCAATGATTCATTAACGGAGATCACTGAAAAAAATAACGTAGAAAACAATACAAATTAACAATAGTAATGAATATGATTAATGATTCAAATAAATATAAATAAAATGAGTTTCTTCTACTCTTTGTAAAAGAGGCAGCTCAAGTATATACTGCTACACTGTTGAGTGCTATATACACTCAGCTATCGCATCATATATGATATATAGTATGTTGCATCTGTAATGTCATGAAAGATCCATCAATACTAAAAGAGTCAGACATCCTCCCGCTAAGTATCCGGTCATGGCCGATTACTGCGCCAAGCAATGTAATGAGAAAGCATCACTCAAGCAGACTCAAGCAGATAGATAATGTGCTATCAGAACATCTAAGTGCTGCTGCATTAGCGTGTCAGTGAGTTCCTAAAGTGACTGACATGCTCCTCATGCTTTAAACTAGTCCAACTGGGTCTAAACTCTCTGTCTATGCAGGAATTTGATCCTTCTGGAAATGTGGATGACAGCAGATGTTCTTTAGATCGCTGATATAAAACGTAAAAATATCTTCACGATGGAAAATGTGCACTTCTGTGTGTGCACACCTCCCTGTTCATGGTCGGTTGATCATTTAATAATTAAAAAAGTTGTATGTCATCGTGCCTTGGTTTCTCTTGACACTAAACTGAGCAAAACGCAGTTCATCTATTGTGCAGAACTCATTCCGAGAGCCCGGAGGCTTTACCGGTTCTGTTTTAGAAAGCGGAAATTTCTTTAAACATGATTTCAAAGTCAAAGAAATCAAACCGGCTTTAAAATAAGCACTGTAATAAGATTTGATGCATCTATAAGCTCACTGTGAGGAGACAACCAGACAAGCATTTCCATCAAAGTCTTGCAAGTGAAATTAATCACACTTTTCTGAGAAAGTATTATTTTCTACAGTTGAAGCGTGGTTTAATGAAGCTGGCTGTTCATATCACCGCTTTACATTACCGGAAAAACATTATTAGGGAGGGTCAAACTAATGCACCCATCAATATAAATGATAAGAACATGTGGAAGCTTGTGATAAACTTTAGTAACTTTTTATTTATTTTTTTACTCCTTTCAATTAAATATTTTCTTCTTTCTACAACCATAAATCATTAAATAATGTAATATGTAAATTATATTTATTTAATATATTTAATTTATATCTGTTACGTATTTAATGATTAAATGAACAAATAATTATAAAAATTAATTAAACCATAAATTACATAAAAACATATTTGTCTCATATTTCATTGAATGTATTTATTTAATTGAATTTACTCACACACATATATATATATATATATATATAATTAAATATGTAAACCTTATTAAATCATTAAATCATGTAATAAATAAATAACAAATAACAATATTAAGATATTTTTCATATAGTTAATGTGTTGTGTATAAAAATACACAAATTAAATGAATTGATATAAATATATTAAGAGAAATTCTACAAATTTAACACAAATAATTTCAGTTTTCAATTTAATATCTAAAAACCTAAGCCTAAGACTAAAATTATGCAATAATCATGTAGCCTTGTCAGATGAATAACAAATACTGAGCTACACACAGCCGTCATAAGAAGTGGCATCAAGTTGCCTACACGGTAAGCTGCAATTTTGAGCAACTGCCTACCTAGACAGCATGTGTAAGCTGTATTTTTAGTCATTATACAGAGCTGACCACTTAATAGGCAGCATTTTTGGCCATCCTTTTGAGACAAGTTGCCTTCTTGCATATCAAAAAGATACCAAGGAGTGAGCTTACTATCTAAGCATCGTTTTTTGAGAATCATATGCAGGTTACTACTACCTAGACCGGTAGCATTTTTGGACTTTTAAGTAAGCTGCCTACCTGGGGGTCTTAGTAGGTGCTCAAGCAGCATTTTTAAACCTCATAATGGGCTCACTACCTACCTAGACAGCGTTTTTGGGATCACTGTCTGCTGCCTAACTTGGCACCAGTGAGCTGCCTACCTAGACAGCATGCCATCATAGCCTACAGCGCCCTGCCAACTTCAGCATCACAGTGAGCTGCCTACCTAGACAGTATTTCTGGGCTTCGCGTCCAAAACATACACATCTGTGATCGTGAGCTGATTATTTAGGCAGACACGGCTAATGATAAACTGCTCCTCAGTGACTGACCTGCTCTTTTCGCTTCTGCCAGCGGCCGCAGGGACTCTCCTCCACGATCTCACTCTCATCCTCGCTCTCCTCTTCCTTCTCGGATCCAGAGTTTCTCTCCGGGACTGACATAGTCATTATATATCACGGAATGACCGTCGCACACAAACGCCGCGCAGCCGTCGCGAAGGAAACAGCTCAAAACAGCGTTGAAATGACGCGCTGCTGCGTGGACGTCCACGCGAGATGACTCGATGCTCAACACGCCGCAGTCCAGGGACAGTTTCTGTCAGCAACAACTGATGTCGGTCATTTTAAATCCAGTGAAATGCAGAAGGAATTACAAGATGCTTTTCATATTGAAGATAAGAGTTGAATAAGAGTTGTTAACAATAAAATGTCCTCTCATTCAGCAGTTTACCGCTTTGAAACCACACACACATCGAGCGCAACAGATTACCGTAATGACTGGATAAATCACGACTACACAACATACATCACTAAACCGTGTCCATTTCAAAATGAGTCATATATATATATATATATATATATATACAGGGTGAGATTTGTGAAAAAAAACAGAGGGGGGGGGTGCTTTTGAAAATTTTTATGAAATGTTTTTAATACGACGGAAACCGTATTTATAAATACGTTATAACGTGATCAATTGACACTTAAGACTGGTTTTGTGGTCCAGGGTCACATATTTATCATTAATATCTGACACAAATATTGTACATTTTTGCACACAAATCTTCAATTCAATTTAAAAAATGTTACAATATGCCTTCAATACTCAAACATAGATATGAAATTTTTAACAAATATTTTTAAAAATTTCTCTTATCACCCTTGCCATGTTGCCAAATGCTACTTTTTAATTTTGTCATCATTTTACATTCAAGTACATCTTTAGCTTGATCATAGGGATTGTGTCTTCATCATCTGATGTCAATGTTTTCTTGTCTACCTAGAGATTTTCAAGCATATCTTTTATGACAATTTAAAACAAAGTGAAACAGCAAAATAAAAAGCATCTCAGCATAATCAATTTATATTCTAATGTCACACAGGTTTGCAGACAGGTGCTGTCCATGGTTCTGATCAACCGCTGACAGAGATAGATTCATTTCCTAATAGAATTCATGTTATTCTATGGAAGGACAAAATTTCCTTGATGTGCAAAATAAAGATGCATACACACATACATATAGGTTAAATATTAATAATATTTTTAATCTATTCTATTACCTCTTGCCAGGTAACTCTATTTATTTATACTTCCCCCTGTGCTGTTCTTTTCTAATCAGAGTTGAGGCCCCTAATGCAGCAGCACACACAAACCCAGTTTCTAAACCGGCATCTAGAGCACAGAATGACCCTAAAGAGAGACAAACCCTGCATGACACCAGCACACAGTTACAAAAGAGCAACTGTTCAGCCAAGGGTTAAACAAATGCCTTGCTAAAAATGGTTATCGTTACATTTCATAAACGATGATCTGAGCAGTCAAAGTACTTCAGGATCAAAGCAGTCTCCTCTCATTAGCATTAATGGAGTGCTGGAAGACCGGGTTTGTGTCTGAATAAAGCCTAATATGGCCTCAACTAGCCAGCTATTAGTGGCGGTGCTCAAAAGCAACATTTTTATGCCTTTTTACTTTAAAATCTGCTTCTTTCAACAAACCAATGATCAGTAGCCATGTATAAAGAAGCTCAAAATATTTCTTTGTTAGGAAAGCTTTTAATGTTATCACAATCACTCCGATTAGTAAATGAAAGATTAAAGGGACTGAAAAAATCATTAAAAGTTTAATGAATAAATGATGTTAAACAAATAGCAATACTCATAATATCTGACACTAATTTTAGATGCACAGAGAACAACAGATAAAAGGACGGTGCAAAGATGTTCTGCAGTGTGACCAACACTTAATGAATTCATACAATTATTAACAGTTGATATTAAAATATAAAATATTAAGGATATGTGATCATTTTATCCACTATGGTTTCTTTGATGCCAGGAGAGATGGAGATCCGTTAGCGTAGCTCATTTTGTTGCAGCGTTCGGCTCTTATTTTCAACAAGTCCTGAAATGAGAATAACAGTTAATATTCAATAATTCCAAGAGGTTGAGAACAAATATTAAATACTCATCATCCTCTAACTGTGTTGTGAAAATAAGCATTTCTATCATTTCAGGACAGTTTTGTTAAGAGACCACAGAAGAAATAATTAAATCAGCAAATCAAATCAAATCCAATCAAATAGTTTTTCTTTTTCCTAAATGATGGACAGTGTATCCGATTTTATTTCATTGAATAGAGTTGTGGAATGACAGATCTGGTTTCCTGGAAATGACATTGCAATATTGCACAATGCAGTTTCTTTGAAAATGGGACCATTTAATCAAATGTGCCTGATTTCAGTTTCTCTTCTTTGCTTTCATAACATTATAAGAAAGCTGTCCAAAAAAAATCAGGACAAATTAAACCAAACAAACCAAAAAGTTCACATTTAGCTAGTTTCAAAGCTACGGTAGAGTATATCCATGAATTTTGTATGAGATAGAAAAGCTCGTTCAAAAGCTCACTTTAAACACATCAACAACATAACTGCATATCAAGTCCAACAGTTCACAGCCTGTTTGCAAAGTTTATTTTGGAACAAATCGTTCTACGTGATGTTTACGTGCATGTGGGATGAATGACCTGTGTGAGCTGTGGTTTGTGAATACAGTGAACGTAAGGCTTCGGGTCACTCTGGATCTCTCCACTGTGGATCTTATAGCAGATTCCACAGTCAATCAGAGGCTATGAACAGACAAATGAGAAACATTATCAATCACATTTATACCAACACATTTGAAGCTCAATCTGAGACTGTAAAGATGAAATAACACAATAATATAACATACGCACCCGTGCATTTTAACTTTGCATCATGCATTTTCATATAATACAAAAGAAGCAATATAAAGCAATACGATCACATGAAGTGCATTTTAAAAATGAAATTCTGTAGCAACTTACTCTGTCCTTTCTGAAAGCACATTTACTTGGATTTGCATTCACAGTTCCTTTAGGGCATCTGGTGGCTTTAAGGTAGAAGCGATGGTAGAGATAACTAACACCAAACCCACCCTACAATAAATCAGGTTATGAGATACCATAACTTCAGAGAACATTAAAGCTCATCATTATTTGTGTATATAAAAAAGCTAAATCACAGTTCAGGCTATCCCTTTCTGTTTAAATATTTCTGTCTCAAATATGAACATCACCAAAGTAAAATGCATTTAACTTAACCCTCATATTGTGATCCAAGCTTTATATATATATTTATATATCCAAGAATATAGTTTTTTCTGAAAATGCTAGTTTATGTTGTCTCTTTGGACTAAAACGCACTGACTTTGCTTAGTCAAAAAACCTTAGGATTGTTTTTTAAATCCTAAGGTTTTTAGGATTTAAAAAAAAAATCTTGTTACACTTGTGGTGTTCCTGATCAAAAATGACCAGTTTTTTTGTTAATCCACAAATAATGCTTTTTTCACTCAAAAACTGAGGTGGGGATCAATAATGGCTACGATCAATCAGTTCCACAAAAAAAAAAGAAAAGAAAGAAAAGCTGACAAAATATTGAATACAAAATTTGGTGATAATATCGCATTAATGTGAGATTTACAAGCTATTTTTAAAAGGCTGGTCATTGTTGACTGGGAACCCAAATTAGGTTAAGTTTTTTCAGCACATCATAAGGGTTAACAATGTAAAAAAAAATGCAGTTTGAATCACAAAACTACTTTTTAAAGTAATAAAACCAAAAGTAAATGACTTTTAAAAGCTACAAAAAGAAGGTAAGTTAGAGAATGCTTCAAAAAGGATACTTACATCAATGTCAGATTTGTCCACACTCTTGAAGAAGAGAAAAACGCTTGTGATTGTCTGGTGTGAGTTAATTTGTTCCACAGCCAGTTCAACACCTTTCCTGTAGTTATCAGGAAGCTTGCTTAGAACCTCCTGCGCCTCCGTTGTGTCCAGAAAGACTCCAGTGCTGACCAGGACGAGGAACAGAAACACAGCCATCTTTGCACAATCCAGAAAATCCCTCAGACGGCCTTATCTTTAGGTTATACAGAGTTATAAAGTGCAAAACTTCAGAGGAATGTAAACAGTGATGGATGTGTTGAGTCTAAATCACCATACATGGGAGCGAGATAATAGCGGGAGAGATTGTGCAATCATGGGATGTTTTTGTGGGGTGAGTCCTCTTCCTTTTTGTCTTTGTGCTTTCACATACAGAAGGAATGTGAAATCATGTGGTCTGAGCGATCGGACTGCCATCCTGTGGAGCACAACTAAGGATTTTGGCTTAATTAATGGGAAAAAATACTAAATTATGCAGATCAGGATCTTTAAATATGCAATTTAAATGACATAATAGTCAGTGACCTCTGTAGGCAGGACTGGATGTGATCCAGTTCCACATGCTGACTAGTTGGGGCATGAAATGATGAACAGAAGGGGGGAAATTGTCTTACCCGAAGAGATTTCATTTGAACGGTTCATTAATAATACTTATTTGAATTAAAGGAATAGTTCACTCACAAGAGTTACTCACCCTCAGGCCATCCAAGATGTAGATGGGTTTGTTTTTTCATCAGAATAGATTTGGAGAAATTTAGCATTACATTGCTTGCTCGACAATGGATCATCTGCAGTGAATGGGTGCCGTCGGAATAATGGCTTTATTTTCTACAAATGTGCAGCTTTTCACTTAAAGTGAGTGACGTGTGGCCAAGTATGGTGACCCATACTCGGAATTAGTGCTCTGCATTTACCCATCCAAAGTGCACACACACACCGTGAACACACACCCGGAGCAGTGGGCAGCCATTTTATGCTGCGGGGCCCGGGGAGCAGTTGGGGGTTCGGTGCCTTGCTCAAGGGCACCTCAGTCGCGGTATTGAAGGTGGGAGAGAGCGCTGTACATTCACTCCCCCCACCTACAATCCCTGTACGAGACTCGAACCCACAACCTTTGGGTTACGAGTTTGACTCTCTAACCATTATGCCACGACTTCTCCACTTCCCCACTTCACAAGACATTAATTAATGGACTGTAGTCATGTGGATTACTTGTGGATTATTGTGATGTTTTTATCAGCTGTTTGGACTCTCATTCCGACGGCACCCATTCACTGCAGAGCATCCACAAGTGATGCTAAATTTCTCCAAATGTTTTCACTTTAATAAATCTTACAAATGACAAAGATCAAAGAAATTCAATGACCTTTCTTTAACCTAAGATCATTTATCAATGTATATTTTTATTATTTTGAAATATGTGTTGCACCATGAAAAAAAACAATCGAACATTTTATTTTTGAAGATGTCCAGAAAATACAATCTTTTTAATTATAACACCTCATTCTGCAAGTTCTCTTTTA